CAGGGATTTTGTGTTTCAGTTCTTTCCTTCAGGTACATAGTTGTGGGACCTACAATTCTGAACTCTCTCCTGGACTTCATTCAACCAAAAGCAGCAGCAGCAGCTAACTTGAGCAGCAGATGGATTCTGTCACCCAACTCCAAGAACATCCGAATGGGTGGACCTGAAGTGCCTTCGCAACCCAGGCCTTGTGTATGAGAGGCATAGCGATAATCCAATGGATGCTTCAATGCCTCCAGCACCAGTTCACTAATTCCTTTAATATCCATATACATGCCCTGCATGGGAGAGCTTTATCAGGATGACGAACACTGGGAGAGCTCAGTTTTGGTGATGGTATTGTTGACCTGTGAGAAATGGTTTAACTGAGATGACTCCTGTCTACGTTTACAATTTCATGCTGTATTGGTTATTGTTATTGTTTCCTACTTCCCTAAACCATCATTCCTATTTCCCTGCTCTGCAATCCTCCCTACTTATTAGGTAATTTAGAGAATAACTTCATTTTACTTGTCCTATAGGTAACAAAGGAGTAGATCTTTGGTAACATACTGATTCTTTGTCTCAAATGATACACAAACAAAATGATATACAAACTTTAGGTAAGTTCATGATATGTAAATTCAATTTTATGTACAAAATTCTGAAAGAAATCCTCATTCCAAAAAAACTCCTGTTAATTTTACTGTATAGTACTTCTCTCTCTCTCTCTCTCTCTCTCTCTCTCTCTCTCTCTCTCTCTCTCTCTCTCTCTCTCTCACACACACACACACACACACACACACACACACACAAAACCATCCAAGTGAAAGCAGAATAAAGGAGGCTGTTTAGAACTTGGCTTGAAACCTGAGCAGAGACCTTTGCCCTGCTCCACCCACCTGCCTGTGTGTCTGGCCAGAGTATCTGTCTATCCTCCATCCATGCTGGGGTACTGTGTCTGCCAGGCCCCCACATGGCTGTGAAGTTTGGATTCAGTCAAAGGGCCACACTTGAGATCCTAGAGGGCCATACACGACCTTGAGGCTGCAGGTTCCCCACTCCTGGTACAGATACCCCCTATGTGTGCTGCCCACTGTGGCTGTGGCTATGGAGACTGAACACTGAGACTATCCCTGCAAGCAGCTGTTTTCCTCCTTCCCTTGTGAGCATCAACAAAGTTTGTTAAAGCTGTTTCTGTGCAATGACACTTTTTATCTGGACACTACTGTATTGCACAATTGTGCAGAATGCTTTGCACTGGCCATTGACAAGGCTGTGCTTTCTAGAAGTGAATAGGAACAGCTATCCTCTAGGAAGACACTTTTTTTGGACTGGGGGAAACTTTCTGCCCTTCTGTCAAATGGACAGAGCCTGTTGGGTGAATCTGGAACTTAAAGGATCCATGTCTCATCCAGGAGCTCAGGAAATTCATTATAGTTCTCAAGCTTCTTTTGTGTGATGCGGATAATTCCCAGAAAAATCCACACAGGCCTACCAGTAAGGGTGCAGGCACTACACACACACACACACACATACACACAGCCCTTCCAAGCTGAGCCAGACAGAGCAGCAGCCCCTGGGGCCTTCCCAGACAGGTAGCCCTGTCTTCAAGTATCAAACAAAGAGGTTTTTATTCTCTCCCCACCCATCTCCAACAGGGAACACAACATAGCTTCTGCTAGATGATAAAAAATACCTTTGTCAGCCTCTGCCTCCCAAGAAACTGAATCTTCACACAAACAGAACTACCATTCACATCAACAACCCTCCCCATTTTGTTTTACATTCCTTTCCTTAAGCTGGAGAGTCACTGGGGCTGGTGGGAGGCAGAGGAGGCCAAAGGGACTAGAAGTGTTTTCTTTCAAAGCCTTGGAGGGGAGAGCAACCTGATATCCCAAGAAAGACCAAGTTAAAAAAGAATAAGATTCCAGAAGAGACTGGCCCCTCTCCTCCAACATCCCCAGCCAAGTCCAAGTACCTCCAGTTCTCCCAAGGAGACCTCAAGTTGCTCCCAACCTTTGAATCTCAAGCCATACCCGGGACTTCTTTTCTCTTTTTTCCTTTGCTTTTTTTTTTCAATTATGTAAAACATTTCCACATTAGTCATTTTGTATGAGAAGACTCAAAAGAAAAAATAGAAAGTGAAAAATAGCATGCTTCAGTCTATATTCAGTAAGTATCAGTTCTTTCTCTAGAGGCGGATAGCGTGCTTCATCATGAGTCCTTTGGAATTGTCTTGGATCATTGTATTGAAGAGAATAGCTAAGTCATTCTCAGTCCTTTGAATATTGCTGTTACCATGTACATTGTTCTCCTGGTTCTGTTCACTTCACTATGCAGAAGTTCATGTAAGTCTTTCCAGGTTTTCTGAAATCATCCTGCTTGTTATTTCTTATAGCACAATAATATTCCATTACAGTCATATACAACAGCTCATTTAACTGATCCCCAATTGATGGGCATCCCTTTGATTTCCAGTTCTTAGCCACCACAAAAAGAGCTACTATAAATATTTTTGTACAAATAGATCCTTGGCCCTTTTATGGATGTCTTTGGAACATAGACCTAGAACTGGTATTGTTGGGTCAGGGGGTATGCACGGTTTTATTGCCCTTTGGGCATAGTTCCAAATTGCCCACCAGAATGGTGCATTAGTGTGGGACTTTTTTTCCCTAATATTACATAGAGGGAAAAGCCTTCAGAGGTTGTAGGCCTGGCATCAAATAGATGTCCAGAAAGAGCAGTCTGTAAATGTTCCCCTCCTTAATCACTAAAACAATATGGTACAGACTAAAAAAAAAGGGGCCAATGAGTAAAACAGATTAACTACACAAAATAACAGAAACAAATAAGCACATTAGCATTGACCAATAAACCTTTAAAGACCACAGTTACTGGAGGAAAGACTAATTGTGTTTTCAAAAGTTTCTGGAAAAACTGGACAGTGGCTTTGGAGAAATTAAGTTTAGACTGACATCTCACACCATACACCAAGATAAACTCCCTGTGGATTCATACCCTAGAAATAAAAGGACTCATCACAAACAAATCAGAGGAGCAAGAAAGAAATTACTTTTGTATCTATGGAGAGGGGGGAAAATCTCATGACCAAACAAACAATGAAGATCATACAAGACCAAATTAAGTTTTTGCACAAACATTATGTAGTAAAAATTAGAAAAGGAACAGGTAACTGGGAAAAATCTTTGTAACAAATTTCTCTGATAAAAATCTTGTTTCCAAGTTATATAAGAAGCTGATTCAAAATTTAAGACTAAGTGCCATTCCCCATTAGATAAGTGACTAAAGGATATGCGCAAGCAATTTTCAAAGGAAGAAATCCAAGTTACCCATGACCCCATTTTTCAAAATGCTCTAAATCGTCAATAACTAGAGAAATGCAAATTAAAGTTAACTTTGAGGTTACATATTATATTCATCGGACTGTCAAAAATGACAAATGTTGGAGGGATAGCTAGAAAAATGGTACAAAAATGGTGCACCTTTGGTGGAACTTTGAAATGGTTTAACCATCCTGGAAATCAATCTGAAATTATGCTCAGAAAGTTACCAAACTGTGTATAACCTCTGAATCAGCTATATCAATGTTAGGCCTAACCCCATCCCCCACTCCAAAGAAATGAAAAAAAGAGGAAAAGGGCCTATTTGTTTAAAAAAAAATAGTCATAGTAACTCTTTTCATGATAGCCCCAAAATGAAAACTGAGGGGCTGTTCTCCTATTGGGGAATGACCAAAAATATTGTGGTTTATTAACCTAATGGAATATTATTGTGCCATATGAAATGGACAGTTTCAGAGGAAACTGGGAAGATCTCTCTGAACCAATGCAGAGAGAAGTGAGCAGAAGTAGAATTTACATCATGACCACATTATAGCAAAACACAACTTTGAAAGACTGCAGAACTCTGATCAGCAAAACAATAAACCATGAATCCGAAAGAATGAAGATGAAACGTGCCACTCACCTCCTGGCAGAGAGATGATGAACTTAAGCTGCATAAAGAGACGTACATATTCAGGCATGGACAATTTGGGGACTTGTTTGGCAGGACTAGGCAGCTATGTATTGAGAGCTTTATTTTGGGGATTTGTTTTTGTCATTTGCCTAATGGGAAGGAGGTAGTGGAAGAAATAGATTCATTTTAAAAAGAAAAGAGAAATTTTATTCACCTTGTTACCTACAATACAATTACTTTCTACAACTTGTAACTTTTAAAACATTTGAAATAACTCAGATAATTGTTTGAATTTTATAACAATGAAATTTCCATCATCGTTAATTTTTTTTAAGTGAAATAATAGCTCTTTTTGATAGACAAATATATAATTGAAGAAAAAGAAATACTGGATCAGCTGAAATTAGACAACAGAGACAAGGTAAAAATTCTAAATCCAGAAAATATCTGCTATATTTATCACTGGAATTCATGATAACTGTTATTGATGAAGAGGTGGTTGATATCTCTCCTTATCCACAAGAACACTCTGATTCAATCAGTTTAGAGCCCACCCAGCTCTACTATTGTCTACCTCACATCTCTTTTTCTTGTCCAAAAGAACATTCTGAGGGTATTTATTAAATACCTTGATGAAACAAATAAACTATGATTATGTCATTTCCCCTGGTATACTAGTTGAATAACCATATCTTTAAAAAAATGAGGTTCTTCTAGCATAACCTGTCTTAGATGAATTTATACTGGCTTTTAGTGACCAATTTTTCTCTTTCAAAATGGTCATAATCCATCCTCTTGATAGTACATTCTAAAATTTTGTTGGGAATTGGAAGGCAGATTCATCAGCTCATAGTCTCAAGAATCTTCTTATCCTTTTCAAAGCACTTGCCCAGTTCCTCTCTTGACAGTAGCTTAGCATCACATTTATTAAGTTCTTTCCTAGGCAAAGACCTATTGGCACTTTAAGCAAAATATTTCCCAATACATGACTACCTTCTCTTACAAAAAAATAAAATAAAATAAAAAGGTCTGAGAGTCTCTGGGATAGAAATGATATTTTATTCTTTTTTTTTCTTCAGGAGAATCTAGATCACAATACAGAATACGACAGTCTTTGATCACAATGGTAGTTTGCTCAATTTCCACAAGAACACAAGGGTGGTGGGGAGGCAGATTGTGGCTTTTTTTTCCCATTCACATTACAACACTCAAGGTCTCACCAGTTACGACACATATTTGGGCAATAAGGGCTAGACTTTTGAAAGGACAAAAACAGCCACCTCATGCAGTCTCCACCTAAGCTACCACCCCATTCTGAATACAGGAGGCAGTGTGCACAGCAAACATAGAAGGGCTGATACTGAGAAAAAGGCACAGGAAGGTGCCTTGATCAAAGTCAGGGTGATTGGTGGGTAAGAGACCCTCTTTCTCTTCTCTTCTCTTCATTTGTCTTCTTCTCTATCTCCATCTCCCCTGACCCCCACGTTTTCTCTTTCCCCAGCTCTAGCTTTCACTTCTAGCATTGCTCACTCACAGCAGAGAAGATGATAATGGGGAACAGATAGCCTTCACAGGTCGAGACCAAATGCCCCCATTAAACCACAATAATTACTTTCTGCCAGAGCCTCTGTTTCATACTAAACAAGGGACAGAAGTTCTGAGTTCAGCTGAAACCAGGAGAAGAAAATTGAAGTCCCAAGAGCAAGATTTGGATTTGGGAATAGTGTTAGGCTTCAGAGATGCTGGGATATTGCTGAGATTCTGAAAACCAAGACAAGAAACTATCCATAGAATCTCAAAACCTCCACTTTCTTTTTTGATTAGGGTGGGATGTGGGGGTCAGGGAAGAAAGACAGGTTTTGTCCAAAGTCACTGTCACACTCTGGGTTTTCCCAGCTTGGGGCATGGCAAATGCAGGACCACAATAGGGATTACTAGCAAGGAAAAAAGGGAAGATAAAGGCCAGACCCATGATGGAATCGAGGCAAGTCGATTTTGATTCAAAATATAAAGAAAGCTTTCTAGCAATTAAAACAATCCAATAATGGCACAGCCTGACTTAAACAGTAGCTAGCTTCCCGTCATTCAAGGTGCTCATGCAGGGGTTAGATGATAGACCATACGTCAGGACTGTTGTAGGGGAAATTATTGCACTAGTTAAGGGGTTAGCTAGATGACATCTCAATGTTTAGGATTCTGAGAAAAGGAAAATGGGACCATTCTTCCCCAGAGGCAAAAGCTGCAGCTCTGAGTTTGCCTTGGGCTTGTAACCAGCACTTAGGCATTCTGAGACCAGGCCCAAGGGCAGAATACTGAGCTGTTACAGGTGGAGAAGAAGCATGAGAGGTGAAAGGCCACAAAATAAGAGCACTGCATATGTCACCTACCTTCCATCCTCTGGGAGACTTAAACTAATCAGAAAGGTATCTCCCACCCTTCTTTATCCATACAAATCAAGAAAAAGAACCACTTGATTCCTTGGGAAACAGCAGCCTTCTCAGAAAAGGAGGGGAAGAGAGCATATAGGAAGAGGAGATCATGGTGATGGATGGATGACCCAGCTCCTGACCCTGGGAAAAGCTGGTCCAAGTTTTACTAGGGACATGATATCATCCACAAACATTGAGCCACAAAGACCATGCTGATCACCCACACACAGACACATCACACAAGTTAGACAGGACAGTGGGCTAAAGAGGGCATGAGCATTAGTTTGTCTGGCGAGGTCATGGACCAGTTTGGGAGGAAATGGACGGGGATGGACACATGACTTCTTGGCTTCTCCTGGGAAAGGTTTGTTGCTGTGGTTTCCAGGTTTTTCAGGCATCAATGTTGGTATCCAGGGGGTTGCGCAGTGGTCGTTAGGGATTGGTGGCTGTGAAAAGAGAGGAGAAAAACACTTCTTTTGACTTTATATAATAATAAATAATAATAATAATAATAATAATAATAATAATAATATGTATATTAGTAATATACATATTGTATATTAGTAATAATAGTATGTATATTAAGATATTAGTATATTAAGTAATTAGTGTACATGTATATTAAGAGCAGCTAGGTGGTGCAATGGATAGGGTGCCAGGGGGATTCAGGAAGTCAGGAAGACTCATCTTTGTGAGTTCTAATCTGGCCTCAGATACTCACTAGCTATGACCCTGGTCAAGTCACTTAAGCTGTTTGCCTCAGTTTCTTCATCTGTAAAACGATCGCCAACAACAGCACATACTATTGCACTTTAAGTTTGCCAAGCACTTTATATATTTATTATCTAATTGGAGCTTCACGATTATCCTGAGCATTCTGCCCTGGTTGGGTGTAGTTGTGCCAACAGTGAGTGGCCTGTTTCCAAGAGAGTTGGATCTGTGCATAGCTGATGAATGCCCCCCTAACTCCTGACCCCTGAGAGGAGTCGGAAGAGAGAAGTGATAAATAGGGAGAGAAGTAGTGTATGCAACGATAGCGTGGAGGAAAGCAGGTCCCAGGTGAGGGGATCCAGCACAGTGTAACAGGATATTTCAGCCCAATGCAGGGTGAGGGATTGTATACAAGTCTGCATATGGGGAGAAAGTGTACATCCCCCCCCCCAGAGCATTGGCACCTTGTGGCAAAACTATGACTTTTTTCCCTAGTTATGTATCTGCAATCACTCAACCTTCCTAGGCTTCAGTTTTCTCATCTATAAAATGGGTATTCATGATCCCTGCTGACCTTATGGAATTGTGGGGAGACAATGGACGTTATTTTTAAATAGGTGAATTTTGATAACTCTATGGTATTTTTAGTTCTAATAAAAGCTGGTTTACTTAATGTTGTAAAAGTAGAAAGTCTCATGTATGCAGCTCTGTACAACATAAAGGACAGACTACTATATGATGAATATTATTAATATTTTACTAATGAAGAAACTGAGATTTGTCTGTGGTTCCATAGTTAGGGTTAGAGACAGGGCTCAAATCCAGATCTCCTGTCCAGTGCTCTTCTAGTCTACTATATTAACTCTGAGATGACCCTGAGAACCCACCCAAAGTGCCTCCTGAATCTTCAAAGAAAGGCTAAATTGTTTTCAGCATAGCTTCAGTATTAGATGTTCTATTGCATTCCAAAACTTCAAAAAATGATAAATCTATAGAATCATTGCTAAGTCCCCATTAAATAACATATTGGATTATCTAGAATACCCTACTTATATGGTGCGAGAGAGTTTACAGTATTCACACATTTTAGCAATCCTCAGTGTCTGCCAACACTTATTCTTTCTTCTCACTCAGAGTTCTCTCAGGGCAGGACCGACTCTAGCTCCTCTCTCTGTACCCATTCCCCTTCCCCCAGCTCTCCCAGATACTAGTATAAGCCTGTATCTCTCCAGGGGTCTACTTTAACATTTCCTGCCTAGCTGACTAGTCCTACCTCAATGCCATCACAGGCTGGAATGGGAGGTAGGGAGGGGGCTCACCTTCTTATCTGACGTCTGTACACCTCAGTTCTCCACTTTCTGTGGTTCTGTGGCTGAAAAGAAAAAGAGCATAAAGCATAACACAGAAGAGACTGAACAGCAGGGAGGCACTGCCAGGCTCTGCCAATGTCTGACCACAGGAGACCTGTTTTGGCTTTCAGTGGCGGGGAAGGGGACAAAGGAGAGCAAAGAGGTGACCTGGCATTATGGAGATACATCCGGCCAGCTCTGGGGAAGGCCTCCCTGTCCTGCCCCTCTCCATACACAACTCCCAGTGATTTGCTATATACAAAACTCTTAGAGTTTTTTGTTTTCTTTTCCCATGTTCTTCACACTCTTTTCTACCCCTTTTCCCCTCACTGTGATCAGATAGCTAGGAAAAGTTACCATTTGAGGTGATCAGGTTCTCCACCTGGGCTTCCTCATCTCCAGGAGCTCTGAAAGAGAAGTCACAACATTGGTCCATTGCCCCAAGATAGGTTCTCCGAGCACCCTTTCCTTAAACTACAGATCCTCCAACAGAGGCACCTAAAAGCAGAGTGATCTAAAGGCACTGAACAAGTCCCTCCTGGAGCCCAAGAGAGAGGGAGTACTGAAAGCAAGCTGATAGAGCCTGTCAGAACAGACACAGACGTTTTTCAAATACAGAGCAAAGACTATAGAACATATCCGGTCAAAAATTTTCAAAGTCAGTCAGTCAACACGCATTTATTAAGCACTTACAACATGTAAGGCATTTTGGGGGATACTAGGGTCACAAAAAACAACAAACAATCCTTGTACTTGAAAGGCACTCTCTTTTATTGCTACTTTCTATGAAAAGATCAAAATTAATATTACCTCTAATTTCTTCTGTATTGATTCTACAATGTAACTGGTTTACGCTATATTAATTTTATAATTGGGTCTGCATCCATCCATCTGGCTCCAGCTGAGCTCAGGAATGCCACTGAGCCATAGCTTAAAGTTAGTTTAAGAGAAAAGTTGTTCTCTCTTATGCTGATATTACTTAGGATACTTCACAGATATCTGTTTGTTTCGCCCATCAAAATCACCATGCCCAAAAGATAAGTTGTCTGCTCTTTCCTGTTTTGGGGTCATTAAGGGAGTTTTTAAACCAAGGAGACAGCAAGTCTGTTAGTTGTGATCCCCTAGCAAAGACTCCAAGATACAGATGGGCCCCATAAAGCAATTATCATTTCTTAATAGTTAGAGTGGCTAGTGACTAGCCTTACCTGAATACCAGCCCACCTTTCTCAATTGACAATCCTAATAATGTTCTTGCCCCACCCCTACAACCTTTTCTCCAATCCTAACAAGACCCTTTCTTTGTTGTGTGTTAATAAAGAAGATCCCCTCCTTCTCTGGGGGTTGCTGGCCTTGCTAAAGTTGCCAGAGTGACCCTCTTTGTTCACAATTACCCCCATCACTGTTAATAAGCTGATCTAGCTCAGAGTCTGTACCTCAGTCTCTCTTTATTACATTAACTCACCACATTTCTAAGGGAATTCCTAACTAGTCCTATCCTCTCTAGACACATCCATCTCCTCTTTGTAACTATTTATTTTTCCTAGCATAGCTGCCCAACAATTGTCCTGCTGTTAGATGCATAGGAGAGTATATTGCAGGCTTACAAAAACAGGATTTGACAGGCTCACCCCTTGGGTATTCATTTGGCTGATCTGAAAACCTAGTCTGTCTAAGGAAGAGCAGAGAGGAACATAGCTCTTTGAAATAGTCTCCCAGGCTCATTACATCTCAAGGAGGCTGAGGTCCCTGAACTTTGGTGGTGTTCCTCTAAGAAAGGGCCCCAAGCCAAGGAGAAGAGAGATTGGCAAGAACGGAGGTAGAGAGAATCTTTAAATCATTCCACTCTCCAGTCTGTAAGTTGCATTGTCCTGCATCCGCTAGCTTGAAGAGAGCAGCAGATCTTGTTACTTTTCATAGGCTGACATTCTTTCCTCTTCCCATCTTCACTAAGGACTTCAGCCCACTCCCCTCCCCAGGTCTCTGACTTAGAAAGGCAGAAGAACTTGACAGCTTTGGGATTGATCCAAATACACTAAGCTTCCTCCCAATCATTTCAAGTATCACCATCCCAGTGCATGCATTACCTGGGCTTCTGATTGAAGCTGCATTTGCATCTCCGACCTAAGAGGAAGTAGACAAAAAATCCAGAATCATCCAGTTTCAGATTGTGGTAGATGAGACTCCCAAAGTACCCTGTCCCATGAGGCCACAACTGTATTATTGTGCTTGGTTGTGGGTATAACATTTAAGAAAAGAATGCATCCATAGGAGGGGCAACCAGGACAGTGAGGGAACTTAAAGCCTTAAAACATGAGATATAGGAACCAGAGATTTTTAGCTTTGGGAAGAATTAAGGGAGATGTAGCTCTCGGACTGTCATATGGAAGAGAGATTAGACCAAGGTTGAGGCCACATGTGGCCCTCTAGGTCCTTGAGTATGGCCCTTTGACTGAATCTAAACTTCACAGAACAAATCCCCTTAATAAAAAGGATTTGTTCTGTAAAACTTGGACTCAGTCAAAAGACTGCGCCCAAGGACCTAGAAGTCCACATGTAGCCTTGAGGCAGCAGGTTCCCCACCCCTGGATTAGACGTATTATGCTTGGCCCCAGGAGGCAGAACCTAAAGTAATGGATAGAAGTTAAAAAAAAAACCAACCACCTCTGCTAATATTTAAAATTGACTAAAAGTGGAATGCATTGCCTGGGAAGGCAGTTGAGTTTCCCTTTTACAGGAAGTCTTCAAACTGAGTTTGAATGACCACTAATTATATCAAAAAGGTGATTCCTGTTCAGGTATGGGTTAGATTCGATGACTTCTGGAGTCCCTTCTAACTCTGAGCCTCTGTGATTCTGTTGTTTTGGCTTTAGTTCATAAAACTATATAATGTTAGAACTGAGAGGGGCTTTAGAGATCCCCTAGTCTAACTCCATCTTACACCCAAGGAAACTAATGCCCAAAGAGAAGTGACTTGTACCAGGGTACAAATCAGAGTTGGGTCTAGAACCCAGGCCAAACTGCCTGGTTCAATATTCTTTCCATTACAACATACTGCCTTCCTCATTGGCTTAAGAATAATACTTTTGAGGCTAAGGGCACAAACGGGTTCCATTCTCTTATAAGCTTATATATATAAACACAAACATATATACACACATATATGTATGTGCATGTGTATATATACATGCATGTGTATATGTGTGTATATATGTGTATACATAAAATGTATATGTGTGTATACATATATACGTACATCTATCTATTTATTTATTTATTTATTCCACCGTTCATTGTGGGGAATAAAGCAAGAGAAACCCTGTATGGCTTAGTACAAACCACTGCCACTCTTAGAAAAATAAAAACAAGTACATGCCATCTATACACAGATGTGAAGGATGGCACATGTCTTCCTGTTTAGCTCACCTGGTGTTTCTCAACCCTTGTTCCATCCCACTTAAGTGCTAGGCCATTTAAATGTAGAGGCAGAAAAGTATACTGGGAAAAATATCGGTTTCAGGTTAACTCCTGGTTAGTCACCTTCTGTATGACTCCGGGCCAGTCACTTATAATTCATAGAATCATAGATTTCGAGCTGGAGGGGTCAGAGGAAGCCATCCGTTTCAAACCCTTTATTTTCTAGATAGGCAAGTGAGGCCAGGAGAGGGAAAGTGAATTGTCTGAGGTCACACAGGTAGCTAGGGGCAGGGCTGAGATTTGAACCTTGACCTTCTGATGCTACTTCCAGTGTTCATTCTGCTACACCACACCTGGTCACTTAATCTCTTTTCTACATCTGTAAAATTAAATGTCTTGGTTAGAAGATCTCTAGGGTTACTTCACATTCCAAATCCTCTGATCTAACTCAATCAAGTAACCAACAAATATGTATTTAGTATCTACAATATGCTAGACACCAAATACTGACACTCCAGTTGGGAAGACAAGATTGATGATGATGGCGATAACTATCATTTATATAAGACTGAAGTCTTAGGGTTTGCAATGCATTTTACACATATTAGCACATGAAAAGCTAACTAAGAGTACAAGGCAACCTGGGAGCTAAGGAGTATTTGCAAGGAGCCTCTGAATCCACAAATAACTGGCTTCTGACTCAGGAATACCCAGCTTCAGGTTTTGCCTTTGTCCACACTCTGCAGCCTACCCCCAGGGCCCAGCCAACTCCTTAAAGAGTTATAGTCACAGGAAAGGTGCTGATCTGCATTGACAATGGGTATCCTCGCTGGGCATGCCCTATCCCAATGAACTCACTGGTGTAATCGAAAACGAGGTTAGGGACTCGACTTGTGATTTCATTAGTATAAAAACTTCCAGATGAGGAAATGCTTTCTCTGCAATTTATAATATTCGAATTTCCCAGAGCACTAAGAGGTTAATTGCCTTGCCCAAGGTCACACAGCCAATGTGTATCAAAGGCAGGACTTGAACCCAATTTTTCATGGTTGTCTATCCACTCCAGCAATCTCAAACTCAAATAAAAACAGGCGCCACTAACCCATACAGAAGGATCCCGGATGGCCACTTACTGACTTAGGAAACCACATATTAACATTACCTGTGTTCTACTGTATTTTTAGTTATTTTGTTAAATATTGCCCAATGATATTTTAATCCAGTTTAGGCCACCCTCCAGAATGTTGCAGGGCTGCCTATTTGACACCTCTGCTCTACAGCATTGGTTCTTAAGCTTTTTTGGTTTCAGGACTCCTTTACACTATTAAAAATTATTAAGGACACAAGTAGTTTTTATTCATTTGGGTTATATCTGTCCATATTTATAGTATTGGACATTGAAATTGATACATTTTAAAATACTTATTTATTAATGTAAAGTAATAATAAATCCATTATATGTTAACATAAATGATGTATTTTATAAAAATAATTATACTTATATAACTACATATAAAAATAACTACACTTTCCAAAACAAAAAAAATTCAAGTGGCATTGTTTTGCATATTTTTGCAAATCTCTACTGTCTGCCTTGCTAGAAGATAACTGCATTCTCCTGTCTGTTCCTACAGTCAATCTGTTGCCATCTGTTATTTGGGTTGAGGTAAATGAAGAAAATCTGGTTTCACACAGATATGTAGTCGGAAAAGGGAGGAGTATTGGTGTTGTCGTTCAGTCATTTCAGTGGCGTCTGACTCTTTGTGACCCCTTTTGGGGTTTTCTTGGCAAAGATACTAGAGTGGTTTGTCATTTCCTTCTCCAGATGAGGAACGGAGGTAAACAGGGTTAAGTGACTTGCCCAGGGTCACACAGCTAGTGTCTGAGGCCACATTTGAACTCAGGAAGATGATTCTTCCTGACAGAAGGCTTGGCACTCTACCCAGTGAGCCACCTAGCATCCCATTTTTTTATATGTGTCTAGATGCTGCTGCGATGAATGCAACCCAGATTCATTTTGTGAGTTACTGAGCACAGGGCAGCTTTTTGCCATTTTGTGTTTTCTCAGTTATTGGATGCTAATAAACAATTGTTTTCACATGGAGCTACATGACTTTTTAAATGTTCAATAGGCTTTCCCATACTCCAAGAGTTTGGGAACCAGTGTCCCAGACCGTTAAAACTGAGGAGTTCGGAAGAGGGAGAAAACCCTGTGGGCTGGCATGATCAGGGAAGGCTTCATGAGACTGAGTCAAACTTGAGCTGGGCCTGGAGGGATGAGGAGGATTTCAACAGATGTAGAAAAGAATAGAAGACATTTTCAACGAGAGGAGAAGGCATGTTTGAATGATGGGGACAATAATAATGACAATAACAATTTTAAAAGGCAGCTAGGTGGTCCAACGGATAGAGCACTGGACTTGGTGTCAGAAAGACCTGAGTTCAAATTCTGCCCCAGATATTTACTAGCCGTTTAATCCTGGGCATGACACTTTGCATTTCTCAGCCTCAGTTTCCTCATTTACAAAATGGGGATGAAAATATTAGCACTTGCCTCATAGTTTTACTATGAGGATGAAATAAGATAGCACATGCAAACTGCTTTCCAAACCTTAAAGGGATATATAAATGCTAGTTATTGTAATAATAGCTGAAACTTGTATGGCATTTTAAGAAGTGCAAAGTACTTTACAAACATTATTTCACTTGATCATACCAGCCCGGTGAGTATGTCCTACAGACATTTTTATCCCTCTTTTACAGATAAGAATATTGAAGCTCAGAGAGTGATTTGTCGGTGGTCACAGAGCTAGTTAGTGTTGCAGGAAGGAACCTCAGCCCTTCTTGACCCTGAGTCCAATGCTGCCTCTAGAATAGCACAAGGCTTCTCTTAGAGGCATCTGACAGTGGGGTAGTGAGTTCTGAAGAGAAGGAGTCTTTGCTTTAGAATCCTCTTTCTTACAGGACAACACCATTCCCTCAGATCAGACCCTACAGACCCATCCTGGTTATGAAACAGCTGAGCCTTGAATTCTACAAGGGCACCTATTACAGGGGGAGTCTTATTTTCTCTTTCCCCTTAACACTTACTCAGGATAAGGAGGATCCCAACCGAAAACAGGACCACAGCAAACACCAAGCCTCCAATCCTCAGACTCTGGTAATCTGCAGAGGGAGAGGCCAAGTATGAATGAGAAGGGAGGGTGAGACACAGGCAGGCATTCCCAACCACCTTCAGGAAACTCACCCCCCCAAAAACAACCTTCCCTCATTCCCCCTTACATCCCCTTACCGCACCCCCCGCAAGGGTCGCCAGGGCTCACCATAATGAAAAGGATCTTGCTCTTTCTTCTGATCAGCAGCTGAAAACATAACACAAGCAAGGCCATGAGGTGGGGGGGGGGGACAATTCATTTATAGAATATTTATGGTTACACAGCATTTCATAGACATTATCTCATGTGATCCTCATGTCAAGCCTGTGCTGCAAACAGGAAAAGGTATTTCTGATCTGTGATCACAGAACATGAGGATTGGAAGAGATCTCAGTGTTATCATTTAGTCCAAGGTTCCTTTTCTTTTTTTCTGGTGAGGCAATCACCTCACCAGGGTCACACAGCTAGTATCATGTGTCTGAGGCTGGATTTGAACTCAGGTCCTCTTGACTCCAGGGCCATGCTCTATCCACTGTGCCACCTAGCTGCCCCACTAATCCAGGGGTTCTTAACCTTTTTTTTTGCTCATGGATCCCTTCCTTCTTTCCCTTTCTTCCTTCCTTCGCTTCTCATTTCCTTCCTTTCTTTCTTCCTTCCTCCTTCCCTCCCTCCCTCCCTCCCTCTTTCCCTTCCTTTTCCTTCATCCCTCTCTCTCATTTCTTTTCTTCTTCCCTTCCTTCCTTCCTCCTTTTTATCTTCTCTTCTTCCCTCCCTCCCTTCACTGTTCTCTCTCTCCCTTCCTTCTTTCCTTTTTTCCTTCCTTTCTTCCTCTTCACATAATAGTAGTTTAAAATGTATAATGAAACCAATGAAAGTGAAATACAATTGCCCAAATATTTAAAAACCCAAGAACCCCCAATCTAGTAAAGCCAACGCCTGACCAGGAATCCCCTCCACAACATCTGGGCCAAACTCACACAGACTCTATTGATCTGCAGTAGGGGAGAACCTCCCACTACCTGTCAAGGTGGCTCACTCCACTTTGGGGTTTCTGTGATTCTTAGGAAGTGCTTCCTTACATCAAATTTTCCTCTTCATAACTCTGCATGTTGAGTTATCATAAATAAAACCCAGAGTCAGAGATCCTACCCGGGGTCTGGCCGCTGAAGTTGACCAGTACTGAGTCTCATCATAGAAGCTGAACTCTATTCCCAGCCCCTGCTCAGGGGAAAGTACCCCCAGGCTGCACAGGGCAGCATCTAGCTCTGCAGGCAACTCTGGGGCACACAAGGGTTGCAGGTTCTTGCCTCTTCCACCCCAGTCCTGGAGGAGTCCACTTACCACTGGCAAGGACCAGAGGAACCAACAGGCTGCATAGAAAGGTCAGCACCATCTCCATGGTGGTGTCTGGGGAAAGAGCAAAGAAGAGAAATGACTTCAGACTGAAGACTTCCCAGGCTGATCATCAGCAGAGCTGAAGAACAATGAGGCATGGTCCTGCCTTCAAGGAGCTTACAGCCCAGTTGGAGAGATAGAACATTCACACATGGGAAAAAACAACAGATTATATAAAGTAGCTGGGTTGGGGTGGCAAGAGATATGGGCCTGGAGTCAAGACAACTGGATTTAAATGCAGGTTCTGCTGCTGATCTGTAGAGTGACCATAGACAAGTCATTTCACCTCTCTTGGGTCTCAATTCCCTCAAAGTGCTGAGGTATATACTGTGAACCTGTTATCACTGTATCACCTCCCAAGCTTTAAATAAGTCATACAGACCATAAGTGCTATGGAAGCTCAGAGGAGAGAAAGACCATAGGGGACTGGGGGGTTCAGGGAAGACTTCATGGAGGAAGTGGGCTTTGAGCTGAGCAAGCTCCAGATTGAAAGGGATAAGGGAAAACAGAAGAGGAGAGATTCTGGGGAAGAGGGAAAGGTATAAATAAAGGCAGGTAGGCAAGAATGGTTGATCAATCAGCCAATAAACAATATTAATACCTTACTATGTTTCATGCACAGGAATACGAGAAAAGGTAAAAGATCGCTCTTGCCCTGCATTCTGATGGGTGAGGTGACACACATACAGCTATATACAAACAAACTACATACAGGATCAATAAGAAATTGAAGGGAAGGCACTAGAAATAAGAGAGATTGGGAAAGGCTTCCTGCAGAAGACGGGGTTTGGGCTGGGACTTGAAGGAAGCCAAGGGAGCCAAGAGGCAGAGATAAGGAAGGAGAACATTCCAGACATGGGAGATAGTCAATGAAAATGCTAGGAGTCAGGAAATGGAGTATCTTGTTCCAGGACCATTAAGGAAGTCAATGACCCAGAACGTAAAACATATTGAGGGGAGTCTCAGGCCGTTCAGCTTTAATCATAGGAGAGATCTAGAGCTTTAAGGAACCTTAGAAATCATCTAATCTAAACCCCTCCTAGGTGGTAAACTGAGGCAGTTTGTGTTCTACTAGGCCAAGGTCAGAGGGAATAGAGTAGTTGCCTGCTGAAACTAGGAGGGCACGGAGAGGGAAGTAGAAGGATACAATTTATCTTCCTAACCAAGGACTTACACAACACTCGCCATGTAGTAGGCACTTAATAAATAATAATAGTTAATATTTGTATGGTGCTTACTATTCACCAGGCACTGGGCTAAATGCTTTGCTCACAACAGCCCTGGGAAGTAGATGATATTAATAGATTATTTTATAGATGAGGAAACTGAGGAAAACAAGTTAAGTGACTTGCCCAGGGTCATACAGCTAGAAAAATCTGAGGCAGGATTTGAATTCAGGTCCTCCTAACTCTAGACTCAGTATTCTATACACTGCAGCATCTCTGCCCCCAGATGCTTGTTGACTGACCATTTTCTGATTGACTCACATTCTCTGATGACATTCACTGGTCAGGATTCTCATGCTTTACAATGCTATAATTCATATGAAGCCACAAGGTTTGGGTTATCAACATTCATTAAGCACATGCTGTGTATAAGGAACAATGTTGGGTGCTGAGGGACATATAAAGATAAATAAGATACAGACCCTGCCCTCATAGAACTTGCAATATGCAAGACAGCTATGCTCACCACTATGTCATCAAAGCAGTCTCACACAATCTCTGCCCTTGGAGAGCTTGCAATCTGGTAAAGGAGTATGTGGCATTTATATAAGAAACTATAATTTTAAAAACAGAGCATCATACACAAATTAGTGCGTGCTACGTGAGATCTGTGGAAGAAAGAATACTTCTGAGTGGGGAGGGAGGTGAAATCTTTGAGGAAGAGGCAACATTTGAGCTTGGAACATGAATAGGATTTCAACCTTGTCTCCATTCTCTATGTCTTATAAGAAAGCAACCTATGGGACAAAGTCCTGTCTGTGAGGGGCAGAATCTCCAATAAAGATGCAAAATCTCCACACTTGGACATTTTCCAAACAAGGAGGTCGTCTGATGGAAATCTACTGGAGGCATCTCATGTTTCTGGGATGATTCAAAATTTCTATTACCTAAAAGTGGAAGAATGGCTTGGATGAACTTCAAGGGGACCTCAGCTAGGGAATCCTAGGTCACCCCACACATAATTACTGGGAGGAGGGAGAGAGCTTGATAGAGAAGGAAAGGTGAGGGAAAGAAGAATACACAAAGTGGAACTTTGGGGAAAACTGCCTAGTGTTCTAAGTGGTGGAAGGCTGGCAGTGCCCTGTGGACCTAAATGCTCTTCCTGTCTCAAGGTCTGAGGTCCCTGGAAAAGATTAAGCCTGCTTTGGGGAGGGTAGCCAACCTCCAGAAGCTAAAGTTCTTGGTGTAACGCAGAGAAAATAGACATCCTCCAGTTCCTCTGAAAGCCACTAGGGGTCAGGATTGCTCCAGGGAATGCCTTTTACTCTAATAACTACAGAAGAATTTTGTAACTGCTTTTTGAAAGAGACCTGAGGCATTATCAAGGCCAGCTCCTTCATTCAGTTTAGCAAGTACTTACTGAGCTGACACGATGTCCAGCACTGTGCTGGCCACTGTAAGAGACAGAAAGAAGTGCGAGACATAGTGCCCGCTATCACAGAACTCATGACCTAGCTGGGAAACCAAGATTGTAATAAGATAGAATTAATCACGTGTTTATTAGTGTGGACCAAACTGTGAATGCCCTGGCAGAATTCATAGGAGAAGGAGATCACCGGGGGCTTCCTGGAGGAAATAGACTTGGGTTGGGCCATAAAGACTGGAAAGAACTCTGACCTTATTGGATCCTGATTGGATCACTACAATCCAATAAGCATTCATTACACACTTATCCTTGGCCTAAGTGTTGGTGATACAAAGACAAGAGGAAAAATAGTTCCTGCCCTCAAGGAACTTACACTCTACTAAAGGGATGCATCACATATATAGAGATGTCTATCTTTCTACTTAAGGTAATCTGAAGAAGAAGAGTATACTAACAACTAGGGAAATCAGGAAACACTTCCTATAAGAGGAGACAAATGACCTAAGGGAAGAGTCCTAAATGAGCAGGACGTCCTAGGCATGGAGAGTAGTTGGTACAAAGACCACAGAGGTGTGAGGTAGAATGCAGAATTCAGGGAATAACAATTAGGTTAGATTGTTTGGACCACAGTGTGCAAAGAATAATCTGCAAGAATCCTGGAAAGACCAAAAGGTAGAGCAAAATTATAAACACACTCATGGAGAATGCTTTGCACCAGCTACTGACAAGGTCATACTTTTTTTCTGACTCAGAGGTGAGCAGGAAGGGCTTTCTTCTAGGAAGGTACAGTTGTTATAGTTGGTGGTGATGGTGGTAGTGGTGATGGTGGTCCTTCATTCTCTTAAGAGGACCATGACATCAGGAAGGTGAAGCCATGACTTGCAAGAGAATCAGATTTAAGTGAGGTAGGGTTGTGCAAAGTCACCAGCCTCACTCTATCCTCCTGTGGGTCTGGGTCCAGTGGCAAGATATAGATTAGGACTATTAAAGATGGCCTTGGATGCAGTAGGAGACCTTGGCCTTTTAACAGTTTTCAGTTTGAGGCAAAGTCCATACTTGTTGAATGAATGCAATGAATGAGAGAAAGTACATAGCCTAAAGAAAAAATACAATGGGAAGACCTTTCCATCAAATAAATCTTCTATTCAAAAAGTATTCTAGTAATTCTATTCAAAAAGTAAGAAACCAGTGGGTAGCACTGGGCAAAATACATCTCACTCTGGTTTTTTAAATTAATTTTCATTAATTATTGTTTTTATACTCCTAAATTTCCTCATCTATCCCTTTACTTTTCCTCCCAAGAGCTAGCTCATATGACAAGATTTTTTTTCAAGAAAAAGAGGAAATAGGGAAGAAAATAGGCAAAACCAAGCAAGATTGAAAAATATTTGAATATATATGAAATGTTCCACATCCATGTCATTTTGCTTTTAATTGGGTCTATGTGAATTCTTTACCACCTTGAATTTTACATTAAGATTTGACCCCAACAGAAAAAGTAAAACAGGGGAAATTGGCCAGTTTTGTCAATTTTCTCCTCATTTGAGTAAGAAGCCAAGAAAAAGGATAGAATGTCATATGGTTTCCTAAAGGCAGATATTTCTGTGGGCTGGGAAAACTTTCTGCCCTACACCCTACACACACACACACACACACACACACACACACACTCCCAATAGCTGCATTCTCAAACACAATAGCTGTATTCACAAACACACACATACACACACACAGGCCTACCTGTAAAGTGCATGTACCACCACTACCACCACACCACCCCCTGCACACTAGCTTCTGGCTACACCCTAGACCCAGTTCATCTCCAGGCACAGCAGCAGGCCCTGGGGCCTTCCCAGCCTGATGTCCCTCAACTCAGGATCCAAACACAGAGGCATCTATTCAGGTTGTCCCTCCCCACCCCTAGCTAGCAGGGAACATTGCATAGTTTCTCTTAGATGACACAAAATACCTTTGTCTGCCTCTGCCTTCCAAGAAACTGAATCTTCCCCCTACACACAATTACTATTCACACCTCATCCCTCCCCCATTTTGTCCCACATTCCTTTCCTTAAATGAAGAAACCGGGACTGATAGGAGTCAAGGGAGACAGAAGGGGCTGGGAGTGTCTCCTTTCCAATCTTTTCAGGATGTCCTAGGAATTCCAGAAAAGACAGAGCAAACACACTGCCCCTAAATCCGTCCTCTCCCCTCCCCAACACAAGGACTTCCCTATCTTCTAATGACGTTGATTTACCCAGACTCTAACATCAAGACACCAATGAAGGCTGGGGCTCAATGCCAGGAGAGCAAGAGAAACCTGGGAGGGATAAGGAGAGAGCTTGGTTCTCCATCTTCCTCATAGACTTCTCAAATCCTCTCTTTTGATAAGGAAATCAGTCACTGTATTACCCTGGGTAAGT